TCCTTTTTCACGAAGTGCTGCTGCAAAAAGATGTTTAGGAATTAAATCAGATTAAGGAGTTCTTAATTGCCAACTCACTTTTTTGTCTGCGTCAGACTTTTCATTTGTTTCTGCAACGTCTTCACTTGATTTGTGTAGCACAGCAGCTGCTTGTGGTTGTTGTTGCTGTTGTTTTTGTGGCGCTGGTGGCGTTGGCGGCGCTGGTGCTGGCACTTTGGTATGCGGCGCTGCTGTTTCGGCCACTCCCGGCGCATGCTCCTCCTTGATCTGGTTTGGTTTATCTGATGTTGTTGCTTTAGTTGTTGCTGTTGTTGCAGTTGCGGTTGCAGTTGCTGCTGCAGCTGCTGCTGTTGGTAGACTGCTACTTGGTTGGGATTGCTCTTTGGAATCCCGCGATATGGATGTAGGTGTACCTGGAACTATATATAACAAAAGTTAAACAATTGAAATGTCATAAGCTGAGCTCGCACTTACGTTTGTCAATGTCTTGGCTCTGCAGCGAAGCAGAGTCATCGTCCAGGTCGAGCTGGAGCGCCGAGTTGCGGGGTTCCTGGCCAAAAAAGAAACAAAATAGCAATATTAGTAAAATACTTTAAAAGAATTTATAAAAACTTCTAACTGTACAGCTAATGCGCATTATTACTTTTATATTAAATCAATATCAATTACGTTTCTGTATATATATATTTTGATTGTCATTTATATGTCTACAGCAACCCGCGATTCATGGACAACATTACAGTTTAACTGAAATTGACACACACATTATTCTTAACTTTGTAATGTAAGGCAGCATAGAGTAAGCTTTATCTAACATTTTACTGTAATGTTGGCTTGTCTTTAGCCAGCATTCTGTTAAAAATGTTAGTCAAAAAGAATAAAAATAACACTTGTATGTTATGTTAGACAAATCAGTTCATATAACGCGCTTTGACTAACATTAAAATGTTATTTTATGTCTGTTATACCTAGGAGAAATGTTATCCATTTTTATTAAAGATCATTTACGTATGTTAAGCCAAAAAGGATAATATGTTATTAAAACTGAGAAATCCAATTAAAAATTCGTATTAATTTGATGCGCAATTTTGAAATGTTTTTAAGATATCTCTAAGGCCCGTCAAATTCTCATAAAAGGCAGCTCAAATAATTTTTTACTACCGCTAAATGATAGGGGGATCAAATTATCAAATATATGATAATTACAGAAAATGATCTATATTTAACTAATTTAATGTAATTAGATTATGCAATAAATATAAGAACTATGAAGTTCGATAAAACAAATATTTGGACTGTTTATTATGATACGTAATATTAAGCAAATATGCGTACGTTACATATATATAAATATATATATATTATTAAAATAGCTTTGATAAGCTACAATGTGTTTGTGGCTACTGAAAAAGCAACACAACTAAAAATTAGCCACTCCAAGGCGAGTACATAAAGCAAGATAAACATTTGACAATGCTGATAAAAATAAGTAAAATAACTTGAATAAATGGAGCGTGTGTTGGAAGGAGGGACGGCTGACGGGGTGTTGCTGTAGAACGACTTACCAACCCTCTGATAGAGCGAGCGCCGCTTCACTTGGCGTTTAAGCTTCTAAATCAATTGCAGACAAACACAAACAAAAAATATAATAATAATAACACACAAAATGATAAGAACGTATTTATGGCCGACAAATTGACGGAGAGTAAAATAAATAAATGAAAAGATGTATCGCAAAGTGCAGTTATTTTTTCGGTTTGGTTTTTTTGGGCATAGTAGACAGGGCGAGGAGGCAGCGTGTAAAAGAGAGATATACAAAAGATTGAAAGAGTTAGTGTCATCTCTAGCTCTGGCTCTAATACAGGTGCATATTGTGCTGGCAACAACGAGAAGCAGAATATGTAGTTAAAAATATAGCTAACCTCGGCCTCATCATCGACGACTTCCTCGACAACCTCGGCCTTGTACTCGAGCAGCAGATCCTTAATTGGCTTTGCATCCAAATTGCCGTTGATGAAACCATGCTGCAGCAACACTTCCGTGGAGGGACGCTGCTGTGGATCCTGCAAAAGGGAAATAAATACAAAAATAGATAGTTTTACAGAGTATAATTGTCAGGAACCATCAACTCTCACCTTGACTAAAGACTTTTTAAGAAAATCATTAAATTCCTTGCTCCATCTGCTCGGCTGCTCCAGTTTGGGCGGTTCGCTCTTTTGTATCTTGAGAAGCACACGCATGGGCGACATTTCGCTATTGGGTGGCTCCATTTGCGCCAACTCAATGAGTGTTATACCCAGTGACCAAATGTCCACCTTGTGATCGTATGGATTATCGCGAAACGTTTCGCAGAGCACCAGCTCCGGTGCCATCCAATAGGGCGTGCCAATGAACGTATCATGCTTTTGCATGGTGTGTTTATTCTTGGCCGACACACCAAAATCAGCTGCAAAATGGCAGAGGGCATTTTATTGAGATCATACTTAATTAATTTTAGCTGCCTACCCAGCTTGACGCCACCCTCCATGGTGAGCAGCACATTGCCGGCCTTCAAATCTCGATGTATGACCTTGTTCTTGTGCAAAAATGTGAGGCCCTCGGTCATGTGCTTGCAAACATACGCAATTTGTGGCTCTGTCAGTGGCTTTTCCAGCTCCACCATGATGCTGTCCAAGGCGCCGCCGTCACAATATTCAATGAGCATCTGTGTAATAAATGTAATTTAGTAAGTATAACATTGCAAACATAAAACGCGGATTACTTAATAAAATAATAATTGTAGCAATTCATTCGTAAGAGAGGCTTGTAGATACTCTTTAACTTTACATTCTACCCTTGTTATTTAATTAATACTTTATTTAATAAACAAATTTTAGATTTTTTTTTATATAATTATACGACCATTAAATTCTTCTTTTTTTAAATATTTTACTGCCATTTATCAAATATTTATATAAATATACATTCTTTTTTACTATTTCGTTGAAAAATAATTTAAAAAGTCAAGGGAATTCACGTACTTTATGACTCGCAAATACTCCTACTATACACACATAATTACGAGAATTTGATATGACTCACCCACAGTTTGTCATCTATAGAGAATGCCTCGTAGAGTTCGACAATATTTGGATGCTTGATCTCCGAGAGTATATCGATTTCGACCATGTGATCGCTCAGATTTTCCTCATCCTCAAGCGTGCACATTTTTGCGGCCGCAAAGCGTTTGTGTTCCTTGTGCTGGGCCTTATAGACCTTGCCGAAGGCACCATCGCCCAATTCACCGACCATTTCCCACAATTCCTTTGGATCGGTGTCCATTTTGATGTTATTGTAAAGGCGTTTCTTTTTGGCCTCACCACCGCCGCCAAGGTGGAAGACCTTCTTCAGGTTCGTTATGAAGGACATTTTGGGACTTCCTCAACTTTCTACACCTGCTGTTCTTCCTTCGTCTTGCAGAAATACGCGTGTGTAATTATTGTTTTTTTTGTGCCTTGTTCTACATGCTGCAAGGAGCAGCGGCTACCGCCAGGTTAAACTAGATTCGAATTTGGTGAAAGCTGCGTAACAAAAATAACAACAACAACATGCATCATTGATTGAGCTTGAGCTTCATTGATTGATTGAGCTTTGGTAGCTGCCGTTTTTTTTTCTTGCTTTTTATTTAAACTCTCTCGTCGCTCACCTGCTTCGTCTCCTTCTGCTGTTGCTTCTTGTTCGTCTTATTTCAAATGAAAATGGGCCAAAGCAGCGCAGCTAGTTTGGGGTCGTGGGTTTGGCTCTGGCTCTGGCTCGGTTGACGACTGCTTAACGCTTCTGTATGTTTATAATTTAATTAGCAGCTCTCGAGCTCTAATATTTGTACACCACATAGAAAGAAACACATACGAATGGCTGGAAAATGATTACAAACGAGAAAAGTAAAAGACGTAGACAAAAAGAGCGTAAAACGACTGTCTGTCCGTGTGCATGTATTTCTGCGTGTGTGCATTTGCATGTGTATGCGTATGTCTACGAGCTGAAGCTGAGACTTGGCTCTTCTTTTTCTTGGCTCTGGTCGCAGTTTTTTCCTTTCGACAGTTTTTTGGCAGAGCCAGCGGCTTTACGTATATGTGATAAGCACCCAAATTTAAACAATGCAATGCACAATTTGTAAACAACACGCGCACTCAAAGCCTCAGCCTCGTTTTACAGTTGCTCATTGATGATTACGCCGCGGCCGCCCATCGAACTGGACGTATGCGTATATGTGTGTGTGAAACTGTAGACGAACGCAGCAAGCGACAGCAGCAAAAACAATTACCTCATCGTCGCATCACAATCATTTTATCATATCAGTTGGCTACACAATACGAACGACAAACGCGCCCAGCGAATTTTATGGCATTACTAAACTTTTCGCGTAGATAAAAAAACGTTTTGCACTCAAATTGCTAATTGCTTTGGATATTTTGTCAATTTCTCTCGCGCAACGTCAGCCAGTGTGACCAGTTCTTAAATTCCACAGTGACGATATGGCAACGCGCATTGCATATTCTGCTGACCAAAATGGCGTATTGTGTGTGTCAGAAGAGCACCACCGATGTGCGTGTGCAGTGCCGTCAAGGGCAAACAGAAACAGCACTCTACAACTACACATGCACGCACGCAAAGTTAATGCGATAACGGCATCGATTGTTATAAACTATTACTAATTACTTTGCTCTATTTATGCCTTCTAATGATGGTAATAATTGTAAGACCAAATCTAAATGTAAAATGCTTACACAAATATATCGATACATCGATGTATATGTCAAAATTTTGTAATTTGTAACATCAGCCAACGCTTGGTATTTTATTCCATTGTTTTTTAGTATTTTAGATATCCTTATAACAACATTATACCAGGAAGGTTTTGTTGTGTTGTGTAAAGCTTATCGATAGCTGTACTTATAGAAATTTTCTTGCTTGTGCATCGAAGTTCAGATACAACTATCGCATTTGCAGAACAATATATATATCGATATTGCGTCCATCTCTAGACACACGTCAAAGAAGAAGAATTTGCTTGTCATTTCGGTGTTTCGCTCAATTGTTATCCGCAACAAAAAAACATTTGTTGCAATTGTCGCAAGTACGCTTTAAAGAAAACACAAGCATAGTACGCTGTGCTTAGCAAATCCCAAACACTTTACATACCAAACGCCACAAATTCAAAATGCCGTCGCTGGAGGTAAGCGTAAACAAAGTAATTGTCCACCCGCTGGTTCTGTTATCGGTTGTGGATCACTTCAATCGCATGGGCAAAATAGGTAACCAAAAGCGCGTCGTTGGCGTGCTTCTCGGCTGCTGGCGTTCCAAGGGCGTGCTGGATGTGTCCAATAGCTTTGCGGGTAAGTAAAAATATATTAAAAACTTAATTAAGGCGCAATACATATACAAATGCCCTGCAGTGCCATTTGATGAGGATGACAAGGACAAGTCGGTGTGGTTCTTGGATCACGATTATCTGGAGAATATGTACAGCATGTTCAAGAAAGTGAATGCACGCGAGCGCGTTGTCGGCTGGTATCATACCGGACCGAAGCTACATCAGAATGATATAGCCATAAATGAGCTTATTCGTCGCTACTGTCCAAATTCGGTGCTTGTCATCATCGATGCCAAGCCCAAGGATCTGGGCCTGCCCACTGAGGCCTACATAGCCGTCGAGGAGGTGCACGACGATGGCTCACCCACGAGCAAAACCTTTGAGCATGTGCCCAGCGAAATTGGTGCCGAGGAGGCGGAGGAAGTGGGCGTTGAGCATCTACTGCGCGACATCAAGGACACCACCGTTGGCAGCCTGTCGCAGAAGATCACCAACCAGCTGATGGGCCTCAAGGGCTTAAACGCGCAATTGCGCGACATAAAACAGTATCTGCAGCGCGTAGGCGACGGCAAGATGCCCATCAACTATCAGATTGTCTACCAGCTGCAAGACATATTCAACCTGCTGCCGGACATAACCAACGATCAATTCACGGGCACCATGTACGTAAAGACCAATGATCAGATGCTGGTCGTCTATTTGGCGTCGATGGTACGCTCCATAATTGCGCTACACAATTTGATAAACAACAAGCTGGCGAATCGGGATGCTGAGGAGGGCAAGAAGATAGTCGAGGGGGACAAGGATGGCAAGGATAAGAATAAGGATAGCAAAGACAAGGAGAACAAGGATACTAAAGATAAGGATGGCAAGGACAAGAAAACTGATGAGAAATCAGACAAGAGCAAGGACGAGGGCGGCAAGAGTACTAAAAAATAGGAGCGAAAGAAAAAACGGAAATCGCGTCGCAAACGCAAGAAGCAGCCGTAAACAATGCAAACAACAACAACAACAGCAGCGACACAAACAACAACAACAACAACAGCAGCGACACAAACAACAACAACAACAGGAACATATTTTGGCCAGCTTAGCGGAGACTGTTACACATGTCGAAAATAATAGCATACATATTATTCTTCATAACACATAAATATCGTACCTAGTTATATTTAATACACGCAGCAAAATCCTCTTTAACTATTTTGTGTAGCTAAGTACGCTAAACAGTAACCAGCAAGTTGATGTAATTAAAACTTAATTAATTTAAAATTAAATACGAATATATCATTTAATGAACACTTATAGGAAACTATATGCAGGTGATTATGATGTCGAAAACTGGAGAACGCAGCTGGAACAACTTTCCCCTTATGCATATAAATATTGAATTAAATTTCAGGAACAACGCCCGGATTATAAAGCAATGCGGTTTTTACTGAAGAATGACTATTGTGCCAGAAATGCCGATCTGCTAAAAATGTTTAAAATATAGCTCTGAAATTTAATATGCAATTAACATTTCTTAATTTTACGGTTAATCCTGAGCATCTTTAGGAGCATTGGGATTTAATTTTGAAGGTGTACTGAAATTTCGCGCCAGCAGATACTATTTCCTCTCGTTTTCCATTAAATGTAGCGTTTTTGAGAATGAGAAAATATTTTTGCTAAAGCGGTATTAAGAAGTTCCGATTTTCTTTGACTTTTACATGTACATATGTATGCAGCATAAAAATATCACCAAAAATAAAACATTTTCCATTTTCTTTTTTTTTACTACTAAAATTATATTTAATATCATCAAAAAACAATTGTAAATGGCTGTTCTACAATTGTTTTTTTCAGTGGACCAACAAGAAGAAGTTTGTCTGTGAGATTATAGACTTAGGCATATGCATTGTACAGGGTGTTCTTAACAAGTGTAGCTAAGTATTATTTATCTTGCGATAATGCTATTAAAAAGCATTTGTTACCAATTAACTTTCACATTATACAATTATTATTTAACTATATTCTAATAGCAAATGGAACAGCTTGAATTACTTTTCTTTTCTGAACAACTATAATACTTAGTTTATATTTTTGATAATGTATGTAATATGTATATATATAGAAAGTTGTAAGTTTTAGATAGTTTGTAGATTAGGCGAGTATTTTATTCTAGTTTAAACAATGAGTTGTGCACTAACAATCGGTATACGGTATTACAATTACAATTATTATAACTTTATACGATAAATACTTGCAGTAAAAAATGTAACGTGAGCAGCTGGCCAAAAAGAAAAGCTCTGCAAATGACTGTTTGCAGAGATTTCTTTTTTTGATTTTAACAATTGTGTCTTCTTCAGCATCATCATCATCGTCATCTTGTTTAAACCAACCACTCACTGGCCAGGGGAAATTTGAGCGGCTTGCAGCTGGTGATCCTCAGGGCGCAGTTATTGTCCTCGGCAGCAGTTGTTGGATAGCTTTTCTCGTTGACCGAGCCGAGACTTAAACTATGGCTAAGACTAGCACTAGCACTATATGTAATAATATCATTGCTATTCCGTAAGTTTGTGTATGCCATCCGGTCCTTCTCCTCCACATCCACATCGAATGCGTCTCCTGCATCTGCCTCCATGTAGCTAAGATTATTTGTGTGGTAAGCGTAGTAACTGTTGAAATCTAGCAGTTTATTACTGCTGCTGCCAACATTTGTTGTTGTTTTATTGGCCGTTGCTGTTGTTGTTGTTGTTGTTGGTGAAAAGCTTTTACAATTTAAATTATAGTTTCTGCTGGTGTGTATCTTTAAATGCACAGCATTGTCATGTCACACCGAAGTACCCTGTTGACCCGGCACAACCGAGCCACAGCTCACGTCCGGCTTAAACGACTGCTGCATCCGCTGCTGGCAGTTGCCCTTCGACGCAATGAAGAATTTGTATATCATGTATATGGGTATACACATCACCGATGAACAGGTAACGGCCCAGCCCACCTGAATGCTCCACGGCGGATAGTAGAACTCCTCGCCCAGCATTTCCTTATAGCCCAATATCGAGAATATAAATATGGTCTGCAATAGAACAGGAAATTATAGCTAATATCAGGTCTCGTTAGACTGCCCACCTACCAGCAGGAAAACTGGACTTATGTACGTCCAACAGATGCGCCAGAAGATGCCCGGCTTAGAGCCCAACATTTGCTCCACATCCGAGCTGAAGCGATCAACGCCATAAAACCAAAATACGCCCGCAGCTTCGACAAATACCACAAAGAGTATGGCCAGACCGGGTCCGTAGACATTCAAAAAATTTACCAAAACAACACCGCCCTGAAAAGCACAAGTATAGAAAGATAATTATATCAGAAACAAAGTTAATTTTATAAGATAGAATATAAGAAACCAGAATCAGGAACCGCTAAATACCGATGACCGAAATCAGGAAGTGTCCGTTTCCTTTCATTCCTTGATCCAATCCGCCAACGGAGCGATGCCCAAAAATACTCTTTATTCAATCCGACTACATCAGTTTGGCTGTCCAGCTAGATTCAAACCATACTTCTTCTATATTTTAAATTTCAATAAGCCCCAAAATGTTCTTATTGAAATACATCCCACATGGCTTTAATTTATTATCAGAAATATTAATTAGTATTTCTCTATAATAAAAATTCTAGTGAATCAGCATAAGCTCAAGCTCCTTTGATAACATCATACGCATTTCCAAACCAAAACAATAAGAATGCCCAGCTGTAGCTGGACTGCCCCCAAAAAAAATGGATGCAATTTTGCGAGCTGCGGTTGATTAATGGATGCAGGCGGTGTTCCGGTTAAGATATGCATAGAAATGGAATAGCTTGATCCGTTGACCGATACACAAGTCGAGTGGCCAACTTAAATATATATGTATGTATATATAGAGGATACTAAATTACAATTTCAAATGTAATCAGGCAAAGTGGCAATGGACAAACCAGGGCGTCAAGTGTTTGGCCAAGAGCAAAGGCAACAACAGCAACAACAACAACCACCTTGGCGAGCTGGTTGTGGTGTGTGCTCGGCCAGGCCAAAAGCAAACAAGCACTCGACCCACCAGCCTGACAGGTGATAAAAATGCAGGAGCAAATGCGGAAAGATGGTTGGACGCTGGGCAGGCACTTGACTGAAGCTGAGTAAGTATGTGAGATTAACTGAAGGAACGATAAAAAGCACTTAACATGGCAATCCATCGTTTTTTGCCTCAGCTAAACTGGCATATTTAAACAGTTGTCCATCCCTCCCTACCTCCGTCCGTCCGACCGTCCGCAAGACAATCGCCAGTCATGGCAGTGGCTGCGTTTAATGAGCCATGTGTGTTGGCTGCCCTTCAGCAGCTTCATGCATATGGAGCAGCCAAGGCGTCCACACGCACTTAACAGTTAATTAAACGAATCAGTTCGCCTGATAGATAAGCGACAGCAGCTACTTACATAGGTCATTGTGGGGAGAGCGCACAGAAAGATGAACATGAGCAGCAGCAGCACGAAAAGCTCACGTCGTCGACCAATCACACGTGGATACTCATCGCACAGTGCTGTTATCATCGCCTCCAGGCCGCCAAAGGTGCTATCCAGTCCCAGCGTGATGAGCATCAGAAAGAATATGATGCTCCAAAAGACCGAACCGCTCATCGTGGCTATGGCCTCCGGATAGACAATGAAGACAAGCCCCGGTCCCTCCAAGCCGACCTTATCGATCGATGTCTTCTGCACATAGGCCATGTAGCTATTTAAATGATAAGATAGGTTAACAGATATACATATATCGAAGTAGTTCAAAGCCCGGTTAAATGGCCAAGAGGTGGCACTCAACAGTTTTCCACTCATTTTCCACCGAAGTAGGTGAAATTATACCTTATGTCTATATTAGGTACTCACCCCAACACCGAAAAAATAACGAATCCAGCCAGAAAACTAGTCAGACAATTAATGCTGCTGGTTATGAGCGCATCCCTGTAGCAATTGTTATTAAATTTATTATAGCTAGACAGGGCGAGCAGCGTGCCAAAGCCGGGACCCAGCGAGAAGAAGATCTGTGAGGCAGCATCGATCCACACCTTGGAGTTCTTCAGCTTATGCCATTCGGGCGTCAGATAATACTTGATGCCCTCATCGGCGCCAGGCAACGAGACGCCGCGCACCAGCAAAATGATGAGCACCACATAGGGTGCCAGGGCGGTAACCCAGACGACCTTGCCCGCGCTACGCACACCCTTCCACAGCGAGAAATAGACGAGCACGAATACGCCAAAGACACAGAGCGCCAATGTGGGCTTGACGGGACCCATGAAGTCCAAGCCGTTGCTCTTGTAACTCTCCAAAACTCGACGCCTGAGTTAAAAATAATTGCTCAAATAGTTGCTTATTTTTTTTTGCCTCCAATTCTGGCACTTACTCGAAAAACTCCTTGGCCGGCGATGTGGCCAGCTCCGTGAAATTCTCGCTGGTCACGGGCATACAGTTTTGTGTGTTCCACGGATTATCGCACGATGTCCACGGCAATTTTGAGGTAAACGAGGCGAATAAATAATATACCGCCCAGCCAATAATTGTGTTGTAGTACATGCCCATATAGATGTCGATCAGACAAATCGCATAGCCAACACCTGTGCGGGTTGTAGGGGTTCGTCAGTATTTTCATTTATCATATATATTATGCCATTTTATTATAGAAATATTGTTTCTTTTATATTTAGTATTTCTTACAGCCCTAAAATTTATTATTACTTGGGTAATTCCTTAAACTTATTTGCATATCAATCACTATCAAAAAAACCTTTAAATATAAATCGAAATATCTGACATGTTCGACATTTGTAAGCAATAATCCCATTAATTGAAATTGTCCTTTTTGTTATTATTTTCATTATTTATTTTTCTAAATTTATAGACAGATATTCTGTAGTTTTATAATATTCTAAATAATTGCGCTTTCCTAACATTTTCTTCCAAAAAGTTTG